CTCACAGTTTAACATCCTGATGCTTACATTTCAAACTTAGTAATTTGGAGTTGAAAGTAGCGATTAATTTTACAATTTAAATAAAATGTAACATTTGGATTATTTGTGTGTTTTAATAAAATATCTTTTAAAGAGAGGAATATTTTGTTCTTTCTTACAACCAAGTCATTAATCCTTATTGCATGGAAGGCTTTATTAAAAAAAAAAAAAAAGGTATAATCGATTATGGTTTTTTAATTGCTACTTAAAGACTGTGAATGGAATTAAAAATAGATTTCTTAAACAGAGGACAAGCATCTTCCCAGCATTTTAAGGTGAAAGAATTTGAAAAGCTATGGGAGGAAACTGTATATTTATTTCTTAATGATATTGTTAATTATTTGCAACTGAATTCAAAATACAACTTTTCACTAAGCCATGATCTTCTAAAGATTTAGATGTATGTTTAGTACCTTAAAATATGCAATCCTATTCATCAAAAAGTAATGCCAGGAAAGTGCATGAACACTCTTGTGGGATTCAGCCTATCAGTACAAAGGAATTTTTTGCATTCTAGTATTTAATGTCACATTTATTGCAGCTTTAAGCTTTTCCTGTTCATTACATCTTAATAAGCAGTACTTGACTGCTTTCTATACTTCCTAATAAATAGAAGGATTCCATTTAAAAATGTTGTAATATGTGTACATTGAGCTAGTAGGCCATAGTCAGGTTTAGAACAAAGGAGAATTTAGATTTTCCTTTAGATAGGGTATAATTTAATATTCAAAAAAATATTCTACTTTTTCAAAAAGTTTTCTTCTTAACCTAGTAAGCATTTCATTTGAAGATTATAATAATAGTAGTTTAATGGTGACGTTTATTTAGATTATATAAACAATACATTCAAATTAATATTTTTGAAATAAAGAATTCAGTGTTCCATTAAAACTGAATTGTGGCACAGATAAATTATTTCACTGTAAAATCAATTTGTCCCTGTGGCAAATGCAGGCCTTTACACTGGAATAAATTATTTTGCAATTTAAAAACCTCACAGTACATGAACACAGAGAGATTCATTAACATCACATATTTTTATTTTGGCTTTTCCTAACTTCTATTTTCTCAAATATTCTTTTGATGATACAGAATTTGCATGAATTAGTTGTACTTAGTTTAGTTAGCATTAATGATGATAAAAAGTACATTCAGCATCAATTTAAAATATTGCATGCCTAGCATATTTACTCTTAATTTAATTGTATATTTTACTGAAGTGTTACATTAAAACTGCTAAGTTATCTTTATTTTATATATGTGACTTTTAAACATGATGTGTACAGAACTTCCTTTGGATTATCAGAGTAAATGAAAATAAATGTTCACCTTCTTGCCTTAAAAATGAAAATTTTATATGTCATGGCTATTTCAAAGGTATGTTTAATATTTCAATTATGTATGTTACAAAGCTCATAACCTTTACTATATTGCTGATTGTGTGTCAAGTTTTAAAAGGGACTTGGAGCAAATATGTTTGCTTTTAATATGGTACTTGTGAAAATATTTTATAAAACAAGGGTTATTAATGATCAGGACATTAATAATCAAAATAATGGGTACCAGTAATAATCAGAACTTGCATTCCAATTTCAGATTCCCACAGCCATCCTTTTTTTCTTTTGCTTACTATGACTCCAGAGAACTCCAATGGTATTTGTAACATGGTGATAGAGAACACAGTTCTGCTATATTGCATTTCAGCTACCAAAAGGCAACTGAGTCAAATGATTTATCACACGGTGGATAATAAGAGAATTCTGAACTTCAGCTATATCTGAAAGGATTAGAAAATAGTGCTGTTGTGGCTAGGAAGCATTGCTTCAGTACCTCAAGAAAAGCTCCTCTAACTTCATACTTGAAAAGAGCATATGTGTTTCTGCTTACAGACCAGAAATGAGTTGAAAGAGCCTGAATACTAAAGGTTTAACAAAATCCAGCCACTGGAAGTTGAAGCTAGACAAATTTGGTGTAGAACTAAGTGGTGTGTACTGAAATGAAGCACTAAAACAATTTATCAAAGTAGATTTTCCATTCCTAGTTGTTTTAAAATCAAGGCTAGACAAGTTTTTTCACCAAAGGAAAATGAACTAGTTTAAACAGTTTTGGACAAGGCTGGTGTTTTCAGAAGCCCTACTTAGATGGTCATAATTATCCCTTTTGGCCTTATAATGTATAACTACGAATTTGATAACATCATAGTAATTACAAAACTTAAAACAAAAGTAAGTTCATTCAGCACATTTCCATGAGGCTTTGCTTTTGTTTATGGAAATCTTAATTTTAATTCTGCCTGGACTTGTTTGTTCTCAACAGGTTTCATGTACACTATATGAGGATTGAATGAAGGGAATCAAAGACTGTAGTAGGTTATTACTGATATTGCAGGCATTATTATTGCAAATATCAGCAGAAAGGCTTATTATCAAGGAATTGACTTACTAAGTCTTTCTCTTGAGTGCACTTATGTCTCTTATTTTATAGCTTTGGCCTCAGGCAGCATATGATCCTATCAACAGCACACATATGCGCAGAGCATAGAGTTCAAATATTTAAAGGGACATCATCAACTTGAGGATGCTTGAGTGGAAAATCTTCTACTTGCTATTATTTAAAGTTAAAAGTGTTGAAAGAGAAAGGATATATATATGTATATACACGTCAATTTTAGCTTCACTTTTTGTACACTGTAATGTGTGAGTAGTTTATTTGATTTTGTTGGTGGTGAACACTCCTTTCAGTGCATCATGTAGCAACAACAAAGCTTAAGGCAAAACCCAACAAGGGTGGAGGAAGACAGGGTGAGACACCTGTGGCTGTGTAAGGCCAACAACATAACATGGCTGTGCTTCTCTGTTCACATTCAGAAGTGAAGAGGTCCAACCCCAGAAGTTGACAAGTGTCCCTTTAAGTAGTGGTCGTAGTAGTAGCGTTATAGCTGTTCATTTGTTTCTTTATAATCCTTAATTTGTGTTTGTACACGTGTTAATATTTGACAGTTTTTTAAATCAAGAAATAGTTTAACTATTTTTAATTGATGAGTAGGCTTTGAAAAAATGTGGGGTTTTTAAATCTAAATTTCAAAGGAATTCAAAGTAAAATTCACCTAGTAGCCTTTCTTACTGAATGTTTGCTGTCTGAATCACGAAAAGAAGCAGCCACAACACGTCACACACACTATCATTTGGATGTGGAAAGCACCGTGTTTCACAGGGTGTGTAATCCCTGATAAAGCTTCACTGTGTATGAACTTCACTCTAGTGGCAGCTCTGCATCAGTTTGAATAGTGCATATATATTTTTGTGAGGACTCCAGCACACTGTCTATTCTCTTTTCTGGTCCAGCTGTTTCTACTTTTCACATAAACTCCACCATATGATAAAACTGTTAGTACATGCTGTCCCAAGCTGATTGTATCATAATGTCTATTTCTGCTGATCTTAAAATTATTTTTCTTGTTATGGCAGCACTCCTTATGGAGTTCAAACATCTTAGATGTTATAGTTGCTTTTTATAAAAAGCATGTGACTTGTTTCATAGCTCGCTTCATTTAATACAGTGAACTAAATAAAATAGTCCTAATCAAGTGAAGAGAGAGAATGTGATTTTGCATGAACACAGTAGACGTTTACTTGCACTGATGTTCTTATATACCAGGTGCAAAGGTGTGGTCATCTGGTTACATGAAGCATGCTTTCTCTGAGTGTTTTGCTTTGACATAAACTACAATATTAACTTTCTTAGTTAATATGTAACCTTCAATAGGGGCACCTAGTAGTATGTCTGAAATATTTTAATTATGTTTGGAAATCCTACTAACGCAAAGCTATTGCTGAGTAGTATCACATTATGAAAATAGACTCTATTTTGTATAAAATCATGTGTCTTACCCATTTTTTGGTAAATTAATTTCTTAAGATGTAAAGACAATGTTTAAATTCATTAACTGAAATTTCTTATATTAAGCATATAGCTCTTATAGTTTTGCACCTGACAAAGTAGGGTGATTTGTCAAGGCATCTAGTTGTGTAGAGTCAGGAACAATAGTGGGGACTCAAAATCACTGAACAAATGGGCATTTATTTATGTGTCTAGCTTTAGTTATGTAAGTTCAGAAATACTGACGTAGATTCTGAAGATAGTTTTAAGACTAAGGTGAAGTAAACTTCACATTTTCAGCACATATTTCTGCTGTCCTGTTTGAGCAGGCCAAGAAGAGTACATCATAAATACAGCACCTTAGCAAAAAAATTTAAAAATAAAATAAAATTTAAAAAAAGTTAAAAATATAATAAACAGGAGTTCCTCTCATTCCTGTCCTTCAGGTTCCAGTTTTCTTAGTCTTTGGAAAGAATATTCAAGGCAATTTATAAAACAGTCAAGACTGATAAGTATTTACTTTTCTGTATTTGACTTGGGTCTACTGAAGTTTATCTGTATGGTGTTTCTTATTTTTAACCTTTCTTGCTTGATCTAATAGTGAAGTGATAATGTCATTAATGCGTGTTTCAATTAATACGTGTTTGTGTAATGATGAAAATACATTATGACTTTTGTATTAGATCAAACAATAGGAAAACAGATTATTTAATCTTGTTATAGCACGGTACATGTTTCTGTCTATAAGCAGTAAAGACTAGGGAATAGTACATAGAAACTGAGTAGCTTCTTTCTCAATTGGATGTGTTTACATTTGTGTAATCTTTAAATCTTGAAGCACCGTGGAAGCAAAGAATTTTGATTCTCTTTTCCAGCTACTGTAAACATGTACCATTCATTTAAATCCTGCTGTTTGGATATATCAGAACTTATATCTAGGAAAACTGTTAGTATAAAGCTACTAAAATTTCCTAGGAGGAATAACATGGTGCCTACTATTGAAAGTGTCACGTTTCTGCCTGTCATCAATTGTGTTACATAGAAGTACAGAAAAAGTGAGCCTGATTTGTTCTCCTTTGTAGAGCCAGGCCGAGGCCCACTACAAAGGAAGTAAACATGCCAAGAAGGTCAAAGCACTAGAGGCAACGAAAAATAAACCCAAAGTTGGTTCTTCCAAGGACAGCGCAAAGACTAACACAAGCTGCTCCACCACGCCAGTCACAGCCAACATCTCTGACAAATCAGGTCAATGAAAACTTTTTATTCTATACATTTTTTTTTATTTTCTCCATTTTTTTTTGTGTTTGTAAGAAAATCTGATTGCCTGACAGTGATCAATGGCTTCTGTTTTCTGAGCTATTTACTGTGCTTTCTTGTACAGAATTGATTGGTTTTGTTATTATTGAAGTGTTTTTTCACATGTATGAAATATCTGGTGTTCCTGAATGCTAAAGTCTATTTCTTTCTTGAACTTGTGAAATTTACTCTTAATAGAATGGATGTTCATACAACAATAGTAATGGATGAATATGGGTGGAGGGACAAGTCTGAGCTGCACATATCTAGCTGAAGCACAATAAACTTGTAAGCAATTTTTTCCCTTTCTGGATAGGTTAATATTGCTCAAACAGGAAAACACACTTACAGAAATGAAATTAAGCCTCATGGCATGGGTATTTCCTGACTCTCACAGCTCATTTGTGCTTCAACATCACTTTTTTTTTTCTTTATTAGTAATATGAGGAAGATCAGTTGCACTAATTGCAGTGGAGTTGCTGGAGTCTCTTTCTGCTCTATCAGTGGTGTGTTACTGAATTAAACACGAGACTTTGCTAAACTTGATGACAGTCTGAAATACTGTATTTGTTACCCAGGAGAAAGAACCTACTGTGGGTTACCCAACTGTTGGTCTAATAGACTGCTTCTGATGAATTTGCTTCTGCCTTGGTAGCCATTTATTATTCTCTTCACCAGAGCTGAGCTTGACTCAGATGCCATAAGGTGAATGATAGACAATTTTCTGACACACAGACCAAAATAAACAAATCTGTATCAGTGGGTATTTGTCTTTTTGCTCCCTTCACAGTAGCACCAAAATTGTATTTGGGTTATGAGTCCCAGATTTTGGGTTTATTCACTTAGCAATCACATTTTGAGAGATAACAAGAATCCAAGTAGCATCTTCAGGTAACTGAACCACGTTACTATGAAACAGTAGCAAACTACCATTGATCTAAATAAAACATGGATTATCAAATGGAGGCTTAAAATAGTTGATAAATATTTTACTCTTTAAAGTATTAAAAAGAGCTTTGGTTAAAATAGCTTACTGCTCCAGGTGTACACTGTAAGAACAGAGACAGTTGCTTAAGTAAGATCTCAGTTAAAACTTCACAGGATTTAACATGTTAAGAATGCATTCTGTGATAATGTAGTTGTGTAATACCCTCCCCTGACTATGCCGAAGGCTAAGGACCAAATAACAAAAGTGTCAGCATCTTTCACAAACTCTATTATCTCTTCTGTAAGTCTGGATCTGTCTTGTGTTTCCTTTGCCAGACTATGAGATCTGTACCTGACTAAGTTTACTTTGTTCAATGTACCTAAAATAATTCAAACCTATCTACATTTGGGTTTTTGGTAAAATAATCTCACGAATGACAAGGGAAACCTGCTCTAGATATTTTTTAATTGCCCCTGTTTTGATAGCGTGTTGTTTTATGCTATTAGTTACTCTACACAAATTAGATAATTACCATCTGTGTCTGCTGGATTATACCATTGCAAGTGTGTACATTAAAAATAAATCACAGTGGCAGTTTAGTTAAATATTCCTGTTAGAACTGTGGGATACTCTGTGAAGGGGAGGCTTCTCAGACCCTGTTACTGCTTCATAGGAGATTGTGAGTGGGATGTTTGATAGGACCTGAACCTGGAGTGGCAAGTTTTCCATGTATGCAGGGAATGCTGGTTGCAGAGGAGGGGAACGGCTTGGAGATTGGGGTTTTTACCAAGCTACGGACTTGAAATCAAACCATAATTTTGTTCAGCTACACTTTCCCTTAGAGAAGCTATTGTTCATCTGTTCTTTAACGTATGTTTAGCTCTTTAACATAATGCTTATTGCAGCCAGAGTAATCACTGTGTTGCATCTCGGAATCAGTGGTGGGATTTTTTTGCCTTGGACCAAATTAACTTATACCATTTTTTTCTGAATATTTTAACACAGCTTTCACGCTCTAGAAATGGATATTGTTACACATTAAGTGTATGGGTATATTCCTGTTTTCTTAAAAAGATGTTTATTACTGAGAGTTTCAGCTCATGTATGTATTTGTGGTCTTGTTTTTTTTATCCAGACTTCCTGACAAAATGAGACTCGTGGTCACATCATCTATCTGTATCTCTGTTATTCTCTGGCCCTGACTTCACAACCACAATTTTGATTGTTTTACCTAATGTGAAAATATTCTTTAGATTAATTTTAATGAAGTTCCTATTAGTTTGATGAATATTGGCACCTGGGTAGAAGAGAAGCCTTAACTTATGGTCCATCCTGAGAGATGCCGCTGTGTGAGCTCTGTTTTGCTCGACTGCTGACCAGACATGCACTATATTTGCCTTCAGAACAGGCGATTTGAGAGTGTGTATTGTGGTGTAGGTCTGAAAAAATTGCATTAGAAGGACATAAGTTAGGGACTAAGAAGAATCAATAAAGGGAATTAAATTTCACTACTTGTGGAGCTGATTAACCACTGTACTTTGGAGGATTACTAAATTCCTAAGAAATGTTTGTCTAGAAATGAGTAATTCCTGGTGTGCTTTTCTTGAGCAGCGAAGAGAAAAATGAAAGCTAAACAGAGAAGACAGTTTTAAGTTCCTGTGTTACATTGTTACCCACTGTACTTCCCCTGGTATTAGTGCAGAATGGGTAGAGTATTAGAGTAAACTGATGAACTGAATTGACTCTACAGCTGCTCCTTTCAACTTGAGAAGTATGGCTGCTGATAGAGCTGCAAAAGTTAGATTAACTTCTAGATTAATTTAAGGTCCTTAAGGTCTTGTGGGAAGTTTCCAGAAGAATGTGGGCTCCTGCAGACAAAAGTGGCCTCAGCTGACTCTGGAATTCCATTTGAGCACAGTGATGCCCCACTTGTGAGAGTGGTCTTGACTGCTGATGTTATTAATACATTATGACTCAGAAATTCCCTTTGTAACTTGATCATCAGCAAACATGTAACAATAAAGCCACAGTGTAGTAATGCTGAGTTGGTTGCAACCTCAGGTAAATGGATATTGATGGGTTGGATTGCACAAGTTTTGCATCCTAACACAATTAGTCTATGATATGATCTTATTTCCCATGTGCACAACTCTTCACCATTTAGAAATGCTTGTTTATTGGTCCTTGTAAGGACTACAGTCCCATCTTGTTCACTGTTTCTGCAGACAGAAGACAGTGCCACAGATCATGTGTGACCAGGTGATTGTTTCTGCAGCTTTCATTGTGTCATGTCTGCTTCTGCTGAGTATTTGCAGATTGCACGTGTCCACAGGGGACCCTTTCATAGCCTGTCTCCCACATAGTTCCTCTAGCCACTCAGAAAAAGTCTAGTAAAGGCTACAGAATAGTTTCATATGTTAGAAAATCAGTACTGTGACACTGAGAGCTTTTTTCAGCTGCTTTGAGATGCGGTTACAGAGCAGCAGTGCTAAAAGCACTGGGAGCTGCTCTTTCATGTGGGGCAAAGATTCCCTCCTCTCCCTATGGAAGCCCAGGATTTTCAGGGTGGCTTCACAATGAAGTAAATACATATGTATGGTATGTATGTTTGGCGTTGCTTTAGAAAAGGGCAGAGGGAGCAACCAGTACATAACACAGTTTTGAATATTTAGACTGTGTTTTAATTATAGCTCTGAGAATGCAATAGAAGATGGTGTCTGTGATCCCGACTTAGCATAGTATAGATGCTTACAGTGATGAGTCCTTTAGGAATGCACATGATAATGACTAGATTGAAATGTCAGTTTACTTCTCAAGCAAAGTGAAATTCTTTTACCATATTTCCAAATTAAAAAAGAAAAAAATTCAAAATTAAGAAGACACATCATGTGGTATCACCTTCTTTGCATTTTGCTTTGATATAAAAATCAAGAAGTAAATGCCACTGTTTTTACTACTGAGAAACTTTAAAACCAGATTTCAGATTATAAAAGGTCATTGTTTTTCTGTCTTCGATCCATTCAGTAGGTGCACTATTTCCCTTGTGCCAGTAAGATCTGTTTGTGAAATTATAGTTCTAGGCATTTCAAGTTCAGTCCTCTTTCAAAAAAAGTCAGAAGGCTCTGCTACTTGGGACTTAGTAGGTACAGGTAAACCCTTTGGATGCTCTATGAAAACTCCTTTTTCTCCAGCTTATAGAGGGATAAGCAACATTATATGCCTAACTGCCAAATTCTAGACCCTGTTTCAAATCCTGAGCCCTCTTACTACTGCTTTGTTCTGTAGCCATGTGTGAGGGCAGAGTAACAAGCTGTTCATTGAGTCATGGTGATGATATTCCAGTTTATGAGCAGTCCTGTGCTGATCTCCTGTGTATGGCAGGAAAGGGATGCAACTGGTAGGAGGCCTGCCAGCTTCTCAATACTAAGTGGGCCCTGTAAGAGTCATTTCAGTCATTACAGCTGTAAAACTAAAATCAACTGGAGGTGGTTCTGAAGAGTTTTGTGGTGCTAGAGTGCAATGCTCTATCTGATACTGAATGAGCTAGCTCACATCTTGAAAGCAGCCTAAATATAATGATGGTCCTCATAAATGCCACTTGACATCACAGAGACATATGGTAATTAGTTGGCCTGTTAGACAGGACTGGCAGCTCCAAGCTTTATCAGACTTAGAAAGTTGATCTTGAGGTCTTGTCTGGGGTGTTTAGTTCATTAAGGCCTTTCTGTCAGTGCTTTGACAACAAAATTGAGTGTTCTCTTACCTTTATTTCTAAAGTGGAGTGCAACATGTTAAATCATATTTGCTTAGGAAGACTACAATGGGTTGGATTTCTCCAGTGTCCCAATTACCAGTGCTGTTTATTCATCATCTACCAATGAGGTGTAATGTCCCAAGGGAAGACAGTTCATATTTCACAAGTCCACCATCAAGGCACTCCCTTAGCCATATTGCTTTCATTGCTTATTTTAAAAATCTTTCTGTCAGTACTTACATTTTAAACTTTTCCACATGCATTGAT